CAGCTCCTGCTGTTACTCTCTCCACCCTGGCTACACATTCCCTTGCAACACCACACACCTATAACAGGCAGGGACAGCTACAGGCAGACCCTCCAGAACCAACACGTTTACGGACTAGCTGAATGGTAATGACAGGCAAGTGCTGGGTAGCCTCCATTTGGCTAAGGTTGCAAACCCTGGGCTTCAACTGCAAGCACCTGGGAACTGTCTGATAGGGCGTGCCGCCAAGGGCTCCTGCATACTTACATCACTTGCAATGTCTCTGGAAGCTTTAGCAGACTTGATAGGAATGGCATCTGCCCGCATGTCGTAGCCCTTTTTCTTCTCTTCCTCCATCGCAAGCTTGTACAGTTTCTGAAGGAAAAACAAGCACTCCCCTCAAGCAACACTTCTTCCCAGGCCACAGCAGCGTCCAGGGACGCACACTTAACCCCAGCTCAAACACCTACCTCACTGAAGTTCATTTGGTTCTGCTGGGCTAGCAAAATACCAGGTGTATCCGGCATAATGTGAACGCTGGTTTTATCTTTCTCCCAGGCTGATGTGTACGAGCGCTGGAAAAATGAGTACACAACGTGAAATACGATCACGCAAGCACCGGGCAACAAACTCACAGAGCAAGCTAGCTCAACAAACTGAAGCAAGGGGCCTCTACTTCGCACTGACTCAGGAATGCCTTTTCCTGTCCCAAAACTTTCTAACGCTTCACCCTTTGCTTTTCCACACTGCACCCAGTCACCGCTCCAACCACACAAAATAGAATTTGGTCTAAAACAAGGAACACAAATCCCGGATGCAAAGGACGCAATACCCCACTTTGCAAAACCCAGGCCCTGGAAGGAGAGAGCCCAAAGTCCTGGGAAATGCACTCGTTTCCTTCAGGTTGCACACACAAGGAAATCTCACTTGGTTCATAATTTCAGAGTTGTGCTTTGCCAGCACCATAGGCATCGAGTCAGGAATGCTCGTGAATTTGATGGTGTCCGGGTGTTGCCGATACCCCTTGTCACTCAGGATGAGGCCCGCCCTCTTATTCTTCTCATCGTCCAGCGAACCACTTGGGGACCAGCCAATGCCCCTCAGCCACAGAAGGTCGGACTTGTACACATTCTGAAAGGACAGCAAGGACACAAAGCAGCTCAGCAACCTCCTTGCTCCACGCAGCCACTCCTCCTACCGTGGCAAGCTCTGCCTACCAAAACACGTTCCCCTGGGTCAACCCACCAGCCACCACAAAAGGGACTCCCATTAAGCTCAGCCCCCCACAACCTGGCTCCCCACGCCTACCACAGCACAAGCACGTGCCAAGCAATCCACAAACCCTCCCTCACCATCTTCTTAGTCTCCCTGGAAAAGACCTGCCCCATGTGGCAATCTCCAGCTGGCAGTGGCACAGGAGGAGCCTTATACCGCATCACCTAATGCTCTTCATACCACTTACCACTGCACACGTGGCTTGCCTTTGCCC